AAATATATTTAAAATGCTTTAGAAGAAAATAAATTTTAATATAAAAATAATTAAAAAGTTAGTTTTTAAGAAATTTGTTTTTAGTTGAATTAATTCGAATATATGCAAAGTGTTTAAATTTGTTTCAAAACAATGTTGATTGTTGATCTATTTATTTCTATTTATATAGTTAAAAAAGCACGAAATTTATAATTATGTAATCAAAAAAGATTGACTAATTTTTTGTATAATGATTGGCTAATTTTTTGTATAATGAATTTCAATTAGTTAAAATATAAATAAACATTTTTTAATATTAAACAAAAAATTTTGAATTTATTTTTAATGAAATTATAGCTTAGACTAAAAGCAACAAATTTGTAAGACAGAATTTTTTTTAAGGTTATTTGTTTTAGAAAACTTTAATATATTTATTATACTATTTGTAACAGGCTAAATCTGTGTAATGACAATCAACCCAGTTGTAATGATTCTGACAACGATTATATGCAAGGGATGACAATCGATCGTAGCCTGGATAAATTAGGAAGTAAATTAGTAAGTACCTGGGTAATAGAATAGAAGGAAAATAGGGAATACTTATCGTGCTTATGTGACACAATCACAATCCATCGATCATGATTGTGCACCTGGAAATTAATTAATTAATTAATGTGGGGTTGGATAATTAATATCGATTAGTAATAGGTATAATAAATGAAGTAGTGATTAAATAGTTAAATGAATTAATTGTAATATGCATAAAATAAATTATGTAATAAGAAATAGTTAGTAATAGTCTCTTGTAGCGTATAAAAAGCAAAAATGAAATAAATAAAAAGAGAGACTTACCTGCTATAAAGGAAAATATATCCAATTTATTTGTCTAAATAACGAACGTGATTATTAGCACGGTTACATTTGGTAGCAGCAGAAAAATGATCCTTTATATTATTAACCAACTTATAAAAAAAAATCAAATTACCAAGTGCCGTTTTACTATGTCACAACAACAGTTTAACGAATTTGTTGAAACATTTATTAGAAGCCAGGAAACCGTCAATACACAGCTTGTTCAAATCCTCCAACGAAACGTTGAGGCGCGACTCGCAATCGAAAGTGTAACTTACGCTCAAGAGGCTCTACAAACAAAAGGGTTATCAGTTCAACTACCTGTGTTCCATGGCAAACAAGATGAAAATGTTGTGACTTGGTTACTCCAAGTCGATTTACTGTATAAGATGCACAAGATTGAAGATGAAGAATGCTTGCAATATATAATAATTGAATTAAAGGGTGCGGCGCTTCAGTGGTATCTTAATAAAGTTCAAGCGCATAATGAACAGACACCTTTTGAAAGTTGGAATGATTTTTCTAAAGAAATAAAACTGGCATTTCAACCTCCTCAACATCAATAATATTTGAGGCGACAGTTAAAAAACATAAAACAAACCTTGATGGTGCAGGAATATGCCTCTAGATTCAGAAACATTCTTGGACAAGTGGAAAGCATGGACGAAGCCGATAAGATCCTCTATTTTATGGAAGGTCTAAAAGCAGCAACCAAAGCTGAAGTTAGTTATCGATCACCAGAAAGTCTGAAAGAAGCAATTCGCTTGGCAACGACGTACAATATGGTGATGTATAGTGTAGGACACCAAGCTTCTGGTGAACTTAGAAGTAATGCTCCAAAAATAGGTGATTTGGGAAATATAGACACGATCCTGATGGAACTTGATAGAACTGAAATAAAGAAGTTCCAAGGAAACAAAAATAAGTTTGTTAAAAACATAAGGCACATAAAGAAAAAGGAGTTTAAACAAAAAGGCTTATGTTTTAAATGTGGACAAAAAGGGCACATAGCTAAAACATGTCCAAATAATGCCAATACAAACCCTGAACCTTTATCAAGCTCAAATACTAATGTTGAACAAGTTAGTTCAATAGAACTGGAATCTGAAAGTGAAAAGAAGGAAAGACTCTTATGAGTTAAAGTGAAGATTTGCGAAAAGGAAGCTCTTATCTTGATAGATTTGGGAGCATCCAAAGACTTTATTAACTCTCAATTTGTGGAAGCACATCATTTAATGATTAGCGAAGGTCCTGAAGGAAGTACGGTAGAATTGGCCAATAGAACACCTTGTAAATCGAGTGGTCATATATCAGATGTAAAAGTCCAGATGTATTCTTGGAAAGAAAGTAGATCCCGAATTGAAGTTTTACCATTACAGAAGTATGACGCAATTTTGGAGAAACCGTGGCTATATGATAATAATCCTAGAATTAACTGGAAGACAAATGAAATTTCAATATAAAAACACCAAAAAGCCTATAGAATAAGTGCCAGAGCAAGCGGGAAACAAGTAGAGCCCCCTACAACAACAATTTCACGATTACAATTGGCAAAGGACACCAAAAATGATGCAGAGTTGTTTGTAGTGTTGGCCTCAAACACACCAGAAATACAAAGTAATGTGAAATCAGACATTCCTGAATTTTTAAAGGCAGTGATAATCAAATACCAAGACATTTTTCCGGAAGAATTACCAAGTAATTTGCCTCTGAGATGAGATGTAGATCATGAAATTCCCCTTCAAGAAGGTGTGGCACCACCATTTCATGAGTTGAAAGAATTGAAAATAGATTAAATGAAATAGAGGAGAAATTAAATAATAATTTTGACTTTACAAATGAAAAAACCTTTA